TAAAATAATAAATAAAAATTCAAAAAATCACTGAAAATTTTAAAAATAATTTTTTAATTAAACCAAAATTGATTTTAATGATTATTTTAAAAGATGTACTGATAAAATTCGTATTTCCAAATTAAAAATCCAAAATTTCAATTAATCAGTAATTTGGTTTCGATTACAACCAAAATTAAATTAAATTCACCCTTATCCAAAACCATTTTGGTATAACTATAAGTTTTCTATAAAAAAATAAAAATTGAATGGTTTTTTCTCTTGTGCTCTAAAATCTCTACGATTTTAGAGGCGGCAGGCTTCTCCCTCAAGATTTCTCTCTGGCATAGGAGCTCATTCTTTCTTCTTTATTGCTTGTCTTTCTCCTCATGCTTACCCTTCCCTTATGTCTTTGTGTTTTTCCTCTCGGTTTTGACTCCTTTTATTCAGATCTGGAGAGTGCTTTTAGATCTAGGTTCAGATCTGTGACTTGGCGTGTTGCAACGACAATGAACGGTTGTGTGTGGGCTGTGGTGGAATTGAGGGATGAGGTTTGGTAGCTCCATTAGCGATTTGGGGATGGTAGGTGGCAAAATTGAAAAATTGCTCAGTCAGGTTCGCCTTACCGTGGAGGTAGACACCTTTCTTCCCTTGATATCAATATGGAAACCATATGATTCCCGGGTTAGAAAAGCTGTGGTTGGTGGGAAAGATATTTTCCTGGCAAAGGTTTCATGCGGGGGTGATTGGTGTTATAGATACATCGATGGATCCTTTCCCTTCGTCTGCCGGCTAAGAGTCCCTCTAGCTGGACAAAGCATTGTAGTGTCAGGAGACACTACATTACCAAGTCCATTGATCTCCTATGCTAGGTCGGGTGGTACAATAGATATGATTGCTAGTAGCATCAGAAAGCTCAAGTGCATTCTTTCTATATCATTACATGGCTCTATTAGATCCCTTTGACATATACTGATATGTAGAGGTTCTCAATACCTAATTATCTTATTTGTGTGCAGCACTTAGCTCTATATCACTACAAGAATACACAAAATTACCGATGAAATACCATGTTGGAAATCAGGAGGGAGTTTGTCGGTAGATAAATTTTCCAACTTATACTTTGTCGGTAATACACTTGTCGGTGTTGGCTTCCTCGGTAATAACTTCACCGATGTGAGATGGAGTTATGTCGGTAATTTGGTCCAAATTACCGACAAAACACATGTCTCAAAACAACTACTGGAACCGTACTGCCGGAGTTTCTCACATAAGTCAAGGTGTCAATTACCGACGAGTTTCATGTCTCTAACTGTAGACCTCGTTTACTGCGTTCCTGTGTTACCTCGTTTATTGCATCCAGTCAGCATGTCAGTAAGTTACCGACAAAGGGTTAATCGGTAAGTTGGTTTAGAAATTTGTAAAAGAATTGCCGATTTACAAGAATTAATTGTTATTTACCGACAAACTTCCAATCGGCAATTACCAAGGAAAAAAAAAATTTGCATTTTACCGACAAACAATTAATCGGTAAGTTTGTTTAGAAATTTGTAAAAGAATTGCCGATTTACAAGAATTAATTGTTATATAATTTACCGACAAACTTCCAATCGGCAATTACCAAGGAAAAAAAAAATTTGCATTTTACCGACAAAGCTTTAATCGGTAATGTGGTTTAGGAATTGAAAAAAAAAAAGAAATTTACACCATTCCCCTTTTTGCAACCAGAAAAAAAAAGTATATAATTTAGTTAAAACCAAAAAACTGTTAATATGAAATAATAGTATTACCGACCATCTAACACATAAGCAATAAAATATATATACATATTTAATAATGAATGTCTTTCAAACCAAAAAGATTATGGGATGATCAATCTTAATTTATAATAGTTAATATTATAAAAAATAAATATAAATATAAATTTTACAATAAAAAA